AAATTTATTATTAAATAAAATAAAATTATTAGAAAATTTAATGCTTATCGAGGTATATATAAAAGTATAAAAGTATACACATATAATTATTTTTATAGTTTTTATTTATTTATTATTTTAATAAATTAATTTAAATTTATTCATGTCGTTTGTAATTTTTAAATAAATGAATGAATGTAATGAACTTAAAAATATATTAAAATATGATTAAATTAAAAAAAAATATTTTTTTATGAATAACTAAATTCAAATGTATTTTAAAATCTTATAATAATACTTTTTAGCAATGTTAAGTTAAATATTCTAAATTAATATGATAGGAGATTATTAATATAATATTTATATTTTTAAGAAATAAATGTGTAAGTTATTTAATATTTTAACATATGAAAAAAATAGTGTAATAAAGAAGTATAATTTATACTTTCTATATTAAGTTAAATAAATTAAATTATATATTTTAATATAAGATGCGAGACGAATATATTACTCTTAATGGTAAAGTAATTTACTCATTATATAAAATATAATTGTCTTCTTCCATTCATTTTTGCATTGCTTTGCGAGAAATAAAAGCATTTATGTAAAAGTGAGATGGGGTAGGTTAAAGTAAGATGTAATTGATAATTGAATTAAAATATGCTTTAGTTTTAAAAGTATTATAAATTTTAATTTTAATTTTAATAAAAAATTCACTTATTATCAATATCAATGTTTATTAAAAGTGGTGTTATTGTAGTCTCTCATTAAGAATTAAAAATAAGTGTTGTGATAAGAGAAAAATGTATATTAACATTATAATAATTTAACTACAAATCACTATATATGATAAATTTGTTTATAGTAATAAGATTAAATTGCAATTTTATTCCTCTATAATATCTTATGCAATTTTATCTCAATTTTATACAATATATAATTTTATCATATCATTAGATATTTATTTGTTGATTGTTAAAATAGTAATGTTGATTATGATTCAACATTAAATAATATTATTTTAGGTTAAATTTCATTTTTTTTATATAAATAGTCAAATGAGATAAAAATAAAAATTAAAAATATAATTTAACTTAAATATTACTGCATATTAATTATCATATAATCTATTTAATATTAATTTTTGACTAATATTACAATTTTAATTATCAACATATAACTATTCAGCAAAAAGACCAAAATAAAATTGGAGAACTAAAATTAAAAAATTAAAAATTGAAAAATTAAATTTATAAATTAAACATTATAAGAAAGTTAAAAGTATAATTAAATTTTTATAATAATTATTCTATAAGTCACATCAAAACTAATTTTAGCTACTTGACCGTGTAAAAAAATTTAGATTGGTAATATATATTCATTAAACTTGCCTGAAAGAGAAAATGAATATATTTTTTTTAGAGACAAATATGTAATATTTAACAATTTTTTTAATTTTCATTTAACTTCATTCCTATATATTATTTTGTTACATAACTTCATTCCTATATAATCACAATTTTATTTATTAATTTTTAATCTGTAATTATGGGTATACTTTTCACATGAGAGAACAAATCCTAACTTGACAAGTAACATGTTGTTACAGCCCCTAAAACACTTGCTTTTTTTGTCTATGCGCGTTACACAACACATTGATCCATTCAATCCCTTTAATGACAGATCTAAGCATGCTTTAATTTAATTGCCTTCATTTTATAATTATCACAGATCTAAAATCATTATCCCAAGATTCCTTTATTCAATGATCTCCCTTTATAGTTCATATAATTCTCAAACTCCCTATAGAAACCAGCAACAGTGAATAAACATAGAAAGTTTACACCACCAACTGGCTCTTTTGGTAAATCCACTTTGTGTCACCGTCTTAACTCAAAACAAGGGTCGCTGTAACCGCCAGTTTTCAAACAAAATCTATGGGGTGGAGAAGTGGATAAAATACTGCTTTTTTCTGTTTCTTTTTCTTTCTTTCTTTTAACCATAATATGTTATGAAGTATTTGTGAATTTAAATGATAATTATTTTGTCAAAAAATATTATTTTTAGTGGAATTTTCGCTTTTAATCATGCACACTCAAACTCGGTATTAAAAAGATGGAATTTAGTTTCACTCGGATCACTTTTCTAATTTTTTTTCTCGTTTTTATTTTATTTTGTGCTTTTATAATTGATTGCTGAGGACTTCTAATAACGGTTCTCATTTGTCAACCAAGGAAAAGCACTATCCCATGCTAAATGGCCCATGGTTTTCCAACTTTGGATATATTTCATAATTTACTTTTTCTCTCTCCATATATATCTTTCTTCAAATATATATAACATGACATCCAACTTTCTCCAGAAATATCATATCATCCTTAACATAAGCTTTATTTTGTGTCAATTTTGCACTGTTTCTACAAATATCAAATATATTAATTCTTCCTCTTTTAGTCAGACCAAACCTATTCCATCTGCACTCAATCCACCCAGTTTTGTAAGATCACAATTCACAGCCTCCATAGAAAGAAAGGGAAAGTAAAATCTTTGGTGAAAGTTTTATTTTTGACAATTTCTAAAATCAGGGCATCCAGTGTTTCTATTTTCTCTTGTAATCAAAAACAGTTGAAGCAAACTTGAACTGCGGTAGTTTAATTAACTCCAGCCAAGGACATAGTGATCCATTCCAGAGGTTTATACAAATCTTCTTGATGATTTTGTTGTGAAAGGGAAAAGGTTTGTTCAGTGATCACATTGAAGATTTTGGTTCAATGGAGGGTGGTTTGGTGGAGCAGGGTGGAGACAGAGTTGGACATGTTAACAAGGTTGGTTATGGGAAAAGGGTCATTGTAAAGAAGAGAAAACCATACCATCGCAGGGTTCATAAGAAGACAATACCTAAGGTCCCAAAGGCACTTCAGGAGCTATTCCTTTCATGCAGGGAAACATTCAAGGGTCCTGGCACTGTTCCCTCATCACAGGATGTTCAGAAACTGTGTCACATTCTTGGTATGATTTTTCTTTGTGTTTATTTTTTAGTCTAAATTTGATGTGCTTGTGTTTGAAAATCTGTGAATTTTGATGTATATTTCCAAGAATCAGCTAAAATTTCAATTACTATATAAAATGTTTTCTTGTGATGGATTGGGGGAGGAGGGGGTTAAATTTTAGTTATGTATATTTTGTTTAATTTTCAAATTGATAATGTAGCGTTAGTTTTATCTTTGGTTAGTGCGTATTTTATTCTAATAAAGATATGCTATTCAGCTGATTCTAGTTCCTTCCTCTTAGGATGAGTTATTGACTGATTTGTACTTTTCATTCTTGCATTCCCTTTTAAGAAATTAAATAAATTCCGAATTTCAAGTTTCGAAACAACAAAGAAAAGAAAACATTTGAAGTGCATTTTTTATTGTTTAAGAGAATTTGAGCATTTGAAAACAATATACCACTCTTTTTGTTTGAAAAGATAATTACCAGTTAAGTCTTGTCTAGAAGTTCATCATACACACAAATTAATATGCATTTTATGCACAAATTAGTATAGGCAAGTGTTTTTTAGGTATTTAATTTAATTTTCATCCTAAATTTAGGTTCTTAATTCCTTTGTACCTCATCTGAAGTGTTGTTGTGTTGGTTTAACAAGCAGATGGCATGAAGCCAGAAGATGTTGGGCTAAGATCTGATCTGCAGTTCTTCAATCCTGAAAATATTGTCAAAGAGAACCCAAGGGTCACATACACAACCGTATATAGGTGCGAGAATTTCTCGGTAAGTCTTGTGACCTCAAATTTTAGTCATTATTCGTTCATTCACCAATGCATTTTCTAGCTAGATGTGTACCTAATTTTAGGGCACTTATTTTCTTTTTCACATGGAGCTCTGCATCTTTTTCCTACCTGCAAAGGGAGTCATTCCCCTCCACAACCACCCAGGAATGACTGTGTTCAGTAAGCTGCTTTTGGGTCAAATGCACATTAAGTCCTATGACTGGGTTGATCCTGAGGTCTCTTACAATTTGTTGCACCAACCATCTCACTGTGAGTATCCATGTTTCTATCAAAATTAAATGAATCTGAACTCATGACATGGGGTATATTAGTATTGGAAAAAACTTGGATACAATAATATAGTTCCTATGGAACCGTATGAAGTGGGTCTAGTTTAGTTGGTTGAATATGATGCTTGAATTGTTATAAATTCTCTTGTAACGAGTTCAATTTTCATGGATAAAAAAAAGGTACTATAGGTACCATTGGTAGTGTTCTCCATTTAAAATTGAAGTTTTACTTCAATAATCCGCGTTGATATTTAAAGAAATCATTTAGTACATATATTACTGCGATGAAATTCTAATTTTGATTAGAGAACGGTATCAACATCATCACCTATGGTGCTGCAGCTGAATTTTATCCATTAGCATTTTGAATTTGTCCTGATACACTGGCTGTTTTTGCAGTAAAATTGGCAAGATTAAAAGCTAATGATGTGTTCACAGCACCCTGTGACACTTCAGTTCTGTATCCAAAAAGTGGAGGCAACATCCATGAATTCACAGCTATAACTCCATGTGCTGTACTTGATGTCCTTGGACCTCCTTATTCCAAAGAAGATGGCAGGGACTGCTCCTACTACAGAGATCACCATTATGATGCTTTTCCATGTAAGAAACACTTTAAATATTACATAACCTATTGTGTCAGCGCTTATAATTAGCCGGTTTTAGACTTTTCCTCCTTAAAAACGACATTTATTTTTAGAACTTTAAATAGTGTTTGACACAACTTAAGGCTTTTTTGTTTTACATTTAAAATCAATTTCTCCTAGCAAACACATGTTTCCATATAAAGTTTATGGCTGAGGCTGAGATTAATTTGGACACATATCTCTATTACATATTATTGTTCAAAATCAATTTCCATCGTCCAAGATGTATATATTTAGTATAGTTTCTGTAGAATTATTAGTTTATGCCTTTATGGGTTTGCAACTTGCAATCAGTCGGGTTTTCAAGGTATTGGTCTTGGATTCCCTGATAGGGGGAACTTATGCTTTATTTCAATAAATAAAAATATAAAAACAAAATGGGGCCATCAAATTGGATATCTTTGGTGAAGTTTGCAACCATAAAGTTGTGACCTCACGTGGCACAGTAACCAGTAGTACTAAATTTGGAAAACAATTTTCCTCATTTAAACATGAGCTACATGGCTACACTACATGAGGTGGCACCTCTTGATTGGATCCAAATTAGTCTACCATGCATGAATCAGAATTTACCTCAATTATGCTATGTTCATTATTTTTGAATCTGACCAACAATGATTTTGAATGGTGCAGATGGAGAAAATGGCAAAGAGAAAGAAGAAAACGATAGTTACGGATGGTTAGAAGAAATTGAGATGCCAGAAAACTCTCAAATGGATGGAATTGAGTATCTGGGTCCTCAAATTATAGAGACTGCCCTATAGATAAGATCAACATTTGGCTCATACTCCATAGCATGTCCTCTTAGCTATTCTTATTGTGCATAAACAGACAAATATAGAAATCCCCCACCTCTTTCAATGTGTTGCTTTTTGTTCTCTAGTGATTAAATTTTCTGCGGTTAAAGTAAAGCTCTATTACCATTAAATTTTTTTTTTTAGTTGTTAATTGTTATGTAATCAAATTGACATTATATAAAAGGCTGATTCTTAAGGAGTTATAAGGAAATGAAAAACTGTGGGCTTGAATCTGTTAACCGGACAAATACTTTTGATTCGTTGTTTAGTTGGCTGGTTTCCAGGTTGTAAGGTTTAAAGTTATGTACACTTGACCAAGAATTTGGAAACAAGTAGTGCACAATGTTGACTTGTTTAAGGAAACCATTAATGTGGGAAACCTTTCCCAAATAAAGGGTCAATGTCTGTAGTTCTTGGGATATTTCTAGCTAAAATTTTGTTTCGAGAATAAAAAGAACGGTGTGTCTTTGATAATGGGGAATAGAAAAAAAGTGAGCGAAAAAGATAGCTTGATTTTAAGGATGAAGAATTGGAATTTTGAAGGACTATTCCGTTATAAAAAGGTTTTATAGATTTTAAAAAATTATAAGATTATAATACTTTTTAAAAAGACTTTTATAATTGAGATTTTAACGAATTTGTATTATAAGAATTATAAGATTCGAAAAAATTTATTGACTTGTAAATTTTAAAAGAATTTTATGGACTTTTAACATATATTCATGGTTATAAGAGTCGTGAAAAATATGATAAAATAGGAAAAAAATTAATACAGATTTTTAATAGTTAATCTTTTAGGTTGTCAAATGAATATGAAATCTCACTTTGATGAAAGAATGAATAATCTATTGTATTAATTACTTAATTAATCATAGCATGTTGAATTTGTAACATACTTAATTTTGTGCAAATAGCTGAATGTTAAATTTAAGGCATTTTTGTATGTTTTCCAAAACATTTAGACCAAGTTGTATGTGCACATAAAGTTTTGTGGCAATATAAAAATGTGTTACTTGTTCTCAATGTCTTTTTTTTTCTTTTGAAGGTAAATTTCACATATTAATATCTCAAAATTTTCTCTTAGGTTGTTTTTGGATGATGGATGTTAAAATCTCAAGAAATTTGAAATGTTTGAAATTTAAGTTTCTTCGATTTGATATTCTTTCTTTTCTAAATGCTTTATTTGGATAAATTAATTGAATTTTTTTTATTTCAAATTCAAAGTTAACATATGCAAATTTTATTTAGATATATGTTTAAAATTTTGAAAATTCAATATTAAAATTTAGCAAAAATAAACTTTAGTCAATTTTAAATATTTAATAATTTAAAATATTTAATGATTTAAATCTACAATGATAAATTTTAGGTTAAAAACCTAATTTGGTCCCTTATAATATTTTTTTGTTTCAATTTAGTCCTATTTTAATTTTTGGTTTCAATTTGGTCCTTAATAATTTAAATTACTGCAATGTCGGACTTCCGTCCAAATTATTTAAACGGAGTTAACTGTTGGCCATGTGGATGCCAAATAGATGTAAAGGTGGATGCCAAATTGCTTTAATGCATCTAGAACTAGAACGGCCCGTTCTGCTTGCACTCGTGGTGTGTAAATTTTGCATCTAGAACGACCCATTTCAGATGCATCATTTAACACACAACAGTGCAAGCAGAATGGGCTGTTCTGAAACAAGAACGGCGGCCCGTTCTGGTTTGAAAATGGGTTGTTCTGCTTGCACTCGTGGTGTGTAAATTTTGCATCTGGAATGGCCCATTTCAGATGCATTATTTAACACACAACAATGCAAGCAGAACGGACCGTTCTGATTCGAAAACGGGCTGTTCTGAATTCAGAACGAGCCGTACCAGGACGCCAACCACATCCGTATGTTCAACACAATGCAACAATGTGGATCAAAGATTGAAAACAAACCATTTACACATACACAATTTTTTTATCTAAAAAATAATATATTTTAACAAATAAAAATTATATTCTAATAAATAAATATATATATATATATATATATATATATATATATATACACACATATATAAAGG